CGGAAACTGGCCGAAGGCAGTTGGTCCAGTTCTTGGAGCACGCTTGGCACGAGGCCCAACTCCACCAGCGCACCTGTCATAACAACCATATGTCTGTCATTACGTGGAAAGGAGGCCGTGTGACCCTGCAACGTCATTCCCTCTCTGGTCCTTGCGGTCCTTACCCGGAACATGAGAAAACTGGTTCAGATCAGTGTTTTCAAGGTCCTGGAAAGGGTGCTACTAATAGTGCAGGTTGCTGGGCCCCTGACTCAGACTATGAATCAGAATGCAGTCAAGTGCTGCCAGTCAACCAGATGATCCTAAAGTTTTTTCCAAGACTAGCTTATCATGAGCTTTGCCCGCCCTCCCTGCCCCTGCTCCCACAAAACGTCCTACCCAGGGCCAGTCCCTCCCATTGGCACGCCCAGTCTTCAGACCACAGAGGCAGAAAGCTGGCTACAAGTGCCCTCTTTTAATTGCTCTAGTCTGCGCTTTTGGAGACAGCCCTTACAGGTCGCAGGTCTGGGAGTCTTTGATGTGAAAATGCACCCTTTCTCATCCCCAGAACAGCCTGCAAGCAAGCCACACACCCAGGTAGCTGGCCAGGTATCCTCTGCCCCTCACTGGTTGGAGATCTTTGGGAAGCTCTCGACTTCTGGGGCCCTCCTTTCTTCGTCTGTCCAACTGAGGAAATCAGACCAAGTGTGTTGACGCTCACACAAGCCCATCAACCCTGGACGATGGGAATTAATGTCTGGCCCTGGGTTTGGCTCTGCACAGAGAGGTTAAGTAAGTTGCCTAAGGTCACCAGCAAGTTGCTGGTAGGTTTGCAGCTAGAGCAGGGCCTCTGAGGCTCCCGGAGGAGGCCTACCCCTGTACCACACCTTGCCTCTGAATAATGACCTTCCAAGGCCACTCAAATAGTGGCCCATGGCAGGTGCTCAATTCAAAGGACATTATAGACACCTTCTCAGTACTTCTTATGCTCTTGAGCTGATTGCCACTGAAATAAGATTTATTTTAGATGCCCTAATGAGAAGTTTGGGAGAAGTTGTGGATATTTATGGTAGGCTCTTGGCATTTGAAGATTGACCATTTGCATTGTCCATTATTTGAAACTGACCCTAAGGGTCAATGCTACTAATTATGTGTAATAGTGACTTCTTTTAATTTCAGAATATTATGGGGATACAAATGTTTCGGTTACATGAATTACCTTTGTACAGTTTGAGTCAGAGTTATAAGTGTGTCCATCACCTGGATTGTGTGCATTGTACCCATTAGGTGTGAATTTACCCTCCTCCCCCCTCCCACCTGCATGATTTCCATTGAATTTTACTATCATATGTACAGGAGTGTTGATCATTTAGTTCCAATTTAATAGTGAGTACATGTGGTGTTTGTTTTTCCATTCTTGCAGTATTTCACTTAGGTGGATCGTCTCCAGCTGCATCCAGGTTGTTACGAAATGTATTAGTTTACCAATTTTTTATGGCTAAGTAGTACTCCATGGTGTACATATACCACATGTTATTAATCCATTCATGTATTGATGGGCACTTGGATTGTTTCCACATCTTTGCAATTGTGAATTGTGCTGCTATAAATATTCAAGTGCAAGTGTCTTTTTAAATAAAATTTATTTTTTTCCTTTGGGTAAATACCTAGTAGTGGGATTGCTGGATCAAATGGTAGGTCTACCATTAGTTCTTTGAGGTATCTCCATACTACCTGCCATAGAGGTCGTACTAGTCTGCAGTCCCACCAGCAGTGTACAAGTGTTCCTTTCGCTCTGCATCCACGCCAGCATCTGTTCTTTTGGCACTTTTGATAAAGGCCATTCTCACTGAAGTTAGGTGATATCTCATCATGGTTTTTATTTTCATTTCCCTGATAATTAGAGATGTTGAGCATTTTTTCAAGTTTATTGGCCATTAGTTTATCTTCTTTTAAAAAGCTTCTGTTCTACACTGATACGTAGTACTATGTTAAAAAAAAAAAAAGCTTCTGTTCTTTTGCCCACTTTTCAGTGTGGTTGTTTGATATTTTCTTGATGATTTGCTTGAGTTTTTTGTAGATTCTGGTTATTAGCCCTTTATCAGATGTGTATCATACAAATATTTTCTCCCATTCTATAGATTGTCTATTTGCTCTAATGATTGTTTCCTTGACTGTGCAGAAGCTTTTTAATTTAATAAGGTCCCACTTATTTATTTTTGTTGTTGCTGTGATTGCCTTTGGGATCTTCTTCTTTGCCCAGGCCAACATCTACGAGAGTTTTTCTAACCTCTTCTTCTAGAATTCTTATAGTTTCATGCCTTAGGTTTAAGTCTGTTATCCATTGTGAATTAATTTTTGTAAGTGATGAGAGGTGCAGATCCATTTTCAGTCTTCTACATGTCACTATCCAATGTCCCCATTTATTGACTAGAGATTCTTTTCCCCAATGTATGTTTTTGTCTGCTTTGTCAAAGATCAGATGGCAATACTAGGATGGTTTTATATCTGGGTTCTCTGTTCTGATCCTTTGGTCTATGTCTCTGCCCTTGTGCTAGTACCATACTGTTTTGTTTACTATAACCTTGTAGTATAGCTTGAAATCTGATAATGTGATACCTCCTGATTTGCTATCTTTGCTTAAGGTTGCTTAGGCTATTTGGGGTCTTTTATGAAGCATAGAATTATTTTTAATTAATATTATTTTGAATTATTATTTAATTAATATTATTTTAAATTATTTTTAATTAATTTTTTAAAAATCTACCTCCTAAGGTTGTGGTGAGGATTAAATGAAATGATGTGTTTAAAGCCCTACCCAGCTGATTCTGAGCTGAGCTCTCTGCCAGGCTCTGGTGGGGGAACCTCCCTGTCCACCTAGTGTGTGTGTGTCCATCCGAGCCTTGGCGAATCACTATAGACACAGATGGCACTATGCATCCCCCCTTACGTTTTTACACAGGGCACAGTGCAGTGGGAAGAAGGAGGCCTTGGCTCCCAGGGTCCCAGTTCTGCCATTCCCTCTGGGTGATCTTGGCAAGTTCCCCCCACCTGGGCCTCAGTCTGCCCACCTGCAGAGTGAAGGCTGTGCCTAGGCCATCGGTTCTCAGCATGTGGTCCACGGACCACCCACAGCATCTGACAACTTACTGGAAAGGCAAATTCTTTGCCTCTCTCCCAGCACCCTAGACCTACTATATCAGAACCTCTGGAAATAGGGCAAGTGCTGTTTTATCAAGTCCTGACAATGGCTCTGATGCACACTCAAGTTTGGGACCCACAAGCCTGGATGCTAAGGCCCATTCCTGCTCAAAAAATCCAATCCTCTGAGTGAAATCTGTGTCACAGACACCAGGCAGTGCTGGTGGTGGGTGGGTATCACAGCAGGGTACTATGTAGCCTGGGGGTGGCTGGTGGGGTGTAGAAGAGGCAGGAGCAGGGGACGTGGCAGGGAGGAGGGTCTGGTGTGGGGAGGAACAACCAGCTTTGGGAAGCAGCACCCCTTTCCTCCTCCCTGCCCACGCACACCCCTCCCTCTCTCCCTCCCAGGGGCCCTCCAGCCCTCCTGTGACCATAGATAGGAAGCCTGGATCTGTCCTCTCTGATCTTCCTCCCTGGTGCCAGCCAGTGTTCATGGGAATGTCCTTTTCTCTCCTGCCCCGCCCCTGGGGAACTGTTTTGAAAATGAGAGCCCATGAGACCTCTAGTGGCCAGGGGATACCAGGAGCCCAGGACCTGTGTCTGCTGTCCAGGTGTGATGGTTTAAATCTGGCCATTTTAGGGAGGACACCTGGGCTCCACATCTGCTCTGACCTCAAAGCCAAGCCTGAAATTATATGCAGACACTCCTCCCAAACCACACCTGCAGGGAGGAGGTGGGAGGCCTGACACAGAGCTTCCTGGCCTGTCTGGCCCTGCTGGGGAAGGTTGCAGAATGATCTTGAGAGTAATCCTTGCAGCCTGGCTGCCTGCACCTCAGCAGTGCTTGTTTGCCCAATGCTCAGTCTTTAGGAAAACAACCCCTGAGGTCAGTTTTCCTTTCAAGACCACTAGGAGGTGTGTTAACTCCAGCTCACACAAACCCAGATTCTTCCTGTCAGCCCTGGTAATGGGAACTGTTCCGTGAAATTTGGGTTTGGCCGAAGGGCTGAATTTGGGGATCTGGAGGGCCACATGTGGCCTTGAGGCTGCAAGTTCCCCATCCCTGCTAGGTTCAGCTCTGCACAGAGAGGTTAAGTAAGTTGCCTAAGGCCACTCAGCAATTTAGTGGTGGGTCTGCAGCTGGAGCAGAGGCTCCCAGACCCTCACTAGGAGCCCCACCCTATACCACACCTTGCCTCTGGTAATACCACTTAAACCCCGAAAAGTATTGCCCTAGATTAGGCTGCATTCTTGTTGCACCTGGCTCTTTTGTAAACCCTGAAATTGTGCAGACAAAGAGGAGAGCCCAGGGCTTAGGATAAGAAACCACCACGCAGGAGACCTGAACAAGGTGTGCCTGGATTTCTGCAGCCACCCAGCTTAGTGCCAAGGACAGACGGATCTCAACAGCCCAGGGGCCGGGATGAGATCAGGGGCTTTGGGCAAAAGCACAAGGGTGAACCTCACAAGGGGAGATTGTTGCCTGGAGAGAGTGGGTGTGAGATTAAAATGCAATCCAGTATCAGAAAAGGGTGCTGCACTGTCAAAGAACTAAGGCCAGAATGCTGACGTCAGGGTAGTACCTTCCCAGCAAGTCCATACTTCAGCATGTGAGACAAACGCCTGATAAAGGCTCTGAGCTGGTGTGTGAAAAGAGGTTTGGGGAGGGCAGGGGGAGGCCTTTCAGGACACTGCTCCTTCCCCATCTCTCTAATCCAGGTGAGCAGACATGCCTGTTTGGGGTGGGACAAGAGTCGAAGGGAGATCCTAGCATGAGCCCCGTTTGTGGGGTTTGACTCCACGGCACTAGGGAGCCTCAGCGGGTTCTGGAGGAGAGGGGAGCAGAGGGTGAGGACTGACTCCTGGGCTCTGCATTGCAGGCAGGACAAGCTGAAGATCCACATGCGGAAGCACACGGGGGAGCGGCCCTACCTGTGCATTCACTGCAACGCCAAGTTCGTGCACAACTACGACCTCAAGAACCACATGCGCATCCACACGGGCGTGCGGCCCTACCAGTGCGAGTTCTGCTACAAGAGCTTCACGCGCTCCGACCACCTGCACCGCCACATCAAGCGCCAGAGCTGCCGCATGGCGCGGCCCCGGCGCGGCCGCAAGCCCGCCGCCTGGAGGGCCGCCAGCCTGCTGTTCGGGCCGGGCGGCGCGGCCCCCGAGAAGGCGGCCTTCGTGATGCCGCCCGCGCTGGGCGAGGTGGGCGGCCACCTGGGCGGCGCCGCCGTGTGCCTCCCGGGCCCCAGCCCCGCCAAGCACTTCCTGGCGGCGCCCAAGGGCGCCCTGAGCCTGCAGGAGCTGGAGCGGCAGTTCGAGGAGACGCAGATGAAGCTGTTCGGGCGCGCCCAGCTGGAGGCCGAGCGGAACGCGGGGGGCCTGCTGGCCTTCGCGCTGGCCGAGAACGTGGCCGCCGCGCGGCCCTACTTCCCGCTGCCCGACCCGTGGGCCGCGGGCCTGGCCGGCCTCCCCGGGCTCGCCGGCCTCAACCACGTGGCCTCCATGTCTGAAGCCAACAACTAGGCTGGTCCTGGCCCACCCCAGCCCCAGCCCTGTCCCTCTCCCAACAGGCCCACTCTGCCCACCCGGCGGGTCTGAACTTTTTATTTTAAAAACACAAAGGGAAAATGAAAAATATATATCTATCCACAGCAAGGGCATTTTCTGGGCCTTCTCAGGCCGCTGCCTCCCTTTTGCTGGTGTCTGAGATGGGCATCTCCTTCCGAAGGGCCTGGAGCCTGGGCCCGCCCTCCCTGGCTGTCTCTCCGCCTCTCGCACGGAAACTTGCACCGGCCCAGGCCACCAAGGAGGGCCACACGCTGGGTGCCCGGGGCACTTGGGAGCTGTGTGGGCTATTGGGTGGTGGGCTGCTTGGCCTGGAGACCAACCTGGTGGAGCAGGGATGAGGGTGGGCCCTGCCAGCATGCTCTGAGGGGTTGTTTTCCAGTCCCCAGCAGTCCCAGGGTCCTTTAGAGAAATGTCACCTGCCACATAGACAGAAACACCCTGTTGGCAGGGAGGCCTCCCAGAGACAGGGGCCTCCTGACAGTTTCTTCCCTTACCTGTCCTGTGACCTTGGACATATCAGACCTCTGCACCTGGGTGTCACCCTGCTATGAAGGTGGGCTGGTAATCTAGGTTCGCTCTCCCCACCCCCACACACACATACACACCCATCCCCACAAAGAGAACCCTTGGGGAGGATAGAGCGTTGCACTCCCAAAGTCCCTAGTGCCACAGTTCATCTTACTGGACTTAGTGTGATCACGTCCACCTCTGTATTAGCGTAATAGCATAGGTGAGAAATGCAGCCGAACTAGACAGGAGTGACAGAGGCAGGGGGTGTCATTGTGTGATGGTAGCGCACAGGCAGCTCTGGGAACTCCATGTGCTGCCTGTTTTCTGGGCAGGTCCCCGTTCACATCTGGACCCCATCTCCACACGCCCCCTCCAGTGCTGCACAGAGTGTCTTGGGACGCCTGGGGCCAACATCAAAGGGATGGGGGCCACCTCTTAACACCTGGCGACTGCCTCTCTTCACCCGATTCCTGAAAACAGGAAAAACACCCGGCTCCCCAGAGTTTATGTTTGCTTCTTGAATTGTGGGTGCCTCCGGGCCTTGGCATTGCTGGCAATTGCCCCCCCTGCTGCATTGGAACCCCCTCGGCTCCTTCCGCCCTGCCCGAGGGTGAAGCGGGAGTGTGCGGTGCGGCTCCCCGTTTGACTGAAGGGCTCAGTGTGGGAGGCTCAAAGGGCTCTGTTAGGACTGACACACGTTCTCCTGGTTCTTGAGTTTGCAGCAGGTCATGAAAAGGAAGACAGCTCTGCTGGCCTGGTGCCTTCCTGGCCTTCTCTCCCCATCCCCGCCCTCCCCTGTCCCCCTCTTCCCTCCAGTGCTGAGCTTGCTTTGGTTTCCGCAGAGAGGGCCCAGGGCTAGAGTCCCCAGTCCCCATACTGTGGCCCCAAGAGACTTCAGCTCTTCCTGTCGCCTTGGCTTTTTCCTGAGCAAACACACAAAGAAACAAAGAGGCCAGGGAAGAGCCCAGACTCTGTCCCTCTCACAGCTCCCCAGAAGACACCCTCCTCATGCCAGCCGCCATTTCAGCTTTAGACACTCCGGTCCTTGGAAGTCCTCTGCCTGGGTGGCGGCCACCTCTCAGATCCCCGTCTCCATTTCAGACACTTGCCTCTGGGACCCACCAGCCGACGTGCCCGGGTCCCGCCATCAGCCGAGGGATTGGGGCTGAACCAAACTTTAAAAGGAAAAATGAACCAATTGGAATCCAGTGGTGTTGGGGCTTTTGTCTTTATTTTGTAAAGGTAATGACTTCTTATAAACTCAATTTTTCAGATGACTGGTTAGTTCTTTTTGTTTTCTCTTGCTGCAATTTGGAGTTGTACATTGTAAAATATCCAAAGATGTTGAGTACTGTATGATCAAGAACTTGAAGCAAATGGGTTGCGGGGGGAGGAGTGGTTCTGTTTTTATTTTGTTTCTTTCTTTTTTTTTTTCCTTTTTGATGTTTCGATTTCCCTGTCTGTCTGTGGGAGAACTTTGGAATTTTTTCTATTTATGACTCTTTTTTATGTGATTGCTCTATGTAAAATGACACTCAACAAAGTTTGCCTTAGTGATTCAAGGGACAATCTTCCATAACTTTGGTTGCACGCCGCATCCCGCCGAGAAAAACTCTCAGCTAATTTTCTGGCCTATTTATTAAACAGTATTAATTGACTTGATTAAATTATATTGAGAGTTGCACTTCTGTGAGATACGACTCCTGGAAGGTCACAGGACAGCAACAAGCCAAGACGATCTTAAGGTTTTGCCTATCGGGTGTCATAAACTTAAAATAATCTCAAAGACACCTTTACAAAAACCACAAGTCTTTGACCCTTATTTAATAATTTGAAGCACAGGGTTTTGAGTAAAACCAAGTGATACTGGCTTGACTCCCGGTTCCCTGGTCAAGTTTGATAGCTCCCTTCCAAGTCTCACCTGAGTTAGCAGTGGGCGTTGCAGGGGCGGAGTGGGCAGAACTCAATTCTTCGGTGGTCTCTTACGTTTCAGCCTCGTGAGGCACTCTGGGGCACCTGTGTCCCTGTGGCGTGGAGCGGGCAGTGTCAGGGGTTGCTGACTTTTAACACGCCCATTCCCGCCAGCTCCCTGGCCTGGCGTGCGGAGGGGGCGTCCGCTGGCCTGGCTGTGGGCTTGCCTTCTTCCTCTTGTGCCCTGGCGCTGGAGTTGGGCTTATCTCCCTTTCTTCACCTGGGCCTCTTCCCAAACAGAGGAAAGTAGATCCTAAAAGAGGTAAGGAAATACACTTGTCTCAGCCAAAGGGCCAGCTCTACTCAGAAGCCACAGCGCAGACTCTTAGTAACACTACTCTTTGAACTGCATTTTCTGGGTACCCCAGGGTTACCTGATAGTCCCCTTTCTGATTCCGATTCCCTTCCTTGCTCTAGTAGGCGCCTTCTATGCAGCATTTTATACAGAGAAAAGAACAGATGTGGGTTTCAAATCAGGACTCCTCCGGGCTGTGTCCTCACTTCCTCCCTCTCGTAATAAAGGAAATTGAGTGTGTCGGGGCATCTTCAAGTTCGACACCCAAACACCCCTCAGCAGAGGGTGCAGCCAGTGGGCGGACTGGAGGTGGAACTCTAGAAACAGCCTGCAGCAGCCTTCCTGTGGTGTGAGACTCCTTTGAAGGCTCCTGCTTTGGCTTTGAACTTCACGCTTCTACATTCTATTACACAACATATATACATTTGTCTTAATTTAAAAATTTTGTCTTGAACTACTTGCCAGTCAAAATGCTTGCCTCTTCCCCAGAAACTCATCGAGAAGTCAGAGTGCTCCTTGGTTACCCTCCTCCCAGTTCCGCTCACGGCCAAGGGCGTGAGGCCGAGCATAGCCCAGAGCGAGGAACACAAGGTCAGATACTCGTCAAAATTCTAGGCGGCTCAGGCGTTCTAGGGTCACTTGGTCCTTATTCTGGGGGTCGGTGTTCACTGAGGGACGTAGGTGAGGACTGCGCCCAGTGGGCCCTGGCCCCTGGGTGCTCCTGAACTCCTCGTGCGAGCAGAACCTCCTAGTCTGGGCCGGCAGGAATCCTCTGCAGCCCTGGGGTGCGTGGCCTGCTCCAGGGGTCCCCAGGTGCTAAGGGCGGCAGGGTATGGACAGCCAAGGCGGCTTCGGTGGGGGGAAGTGGGAGTGAAGGGAGGAAGATGAGGCCGGAGGACAGGCCAAAGAAACGTGCCCCTTCACCTACAGAAGAAGGCTTAAAGGATGCATTAGACCTGGCCTTGGGACTGCAAGTCTATTGCGTAGGGGAATGGTCTTACCAAAAGTGAGGCCAACTTGAACCTGTAGGAGAGAGATTCCAGGATGCACCTGGGAGCTCAAACGAAGGAAGATAACTTCCTAACACCTGGAGGAATGAGGTCCCTTGTGAGGGGTGATCTCTCAGTCATTGGAGGTGTTCAACACTGCCTTTCAAGAATGCTGGAGATTCTGCATGGGAAGGAGGGCTTTCTAGACAGTCATGTGGGCCCCTTCCACCTGAGTTGTGAAAAGGCGAATATATATCCCCACGTGACCATAGACAGGCTGTGCCGGGTGAGGGTGGGACCAGCAAGTGAACCAGCAGACTTAAGGCGCATTTACAAAGCTCAGCTTGGTGGCCCAGGGCTGCCAGACTCTTCTCCCCCACCAGTCAGGGCCCAGGAAATGGGACTCCGTAGAAAAGGTCCTGACTCTTATTTAGAGCCCCTAAACAAGTGACAAGGGAACAGCAAAGCACCAACAGGAAGTGAGACTCTCTCACCTTGCACCTTTATCTGATGCAGAACCTGCCCCCACAGAGAAGGACAAACCCCATCACAGACACACACCCCCCTCTCTTGGGGCCTTGTTGGCTCTTTCTCCCGGAGGGCACCGGCTTCACAGAGGAGGGTAAGCGCCCCGCAGGCCACCTTATCTGAGAGTCAGTCACTCAGCCAGAAGCGGGGGGGGGGGGCACAGGGGACCCTACAGGAGGGAAATGCAGCTCAACACAAGTGCCGAGGAACAGAGGCCCCCTCCAGGGACCTGGGACACCCCAGGGCAAATCCTGGAATGGAGGAGGTTTGTCTCCAGCGATCCCCCAACTCCCAACTCCCCCAGCATTCTCCTTTTCCCTGCTCCTGTTGCCCTTCCTACCCCACCTGCCCCTCAGTGGGCGCCCTTCCTTTCTCTCTGTCCTCCCCTCTGCCCAAACCTGCCCTGGAGAAGAGGCCCTGGCCTGAGTCCCCAAGCGTGAATGTGACTCACTGGCTCCCTCTCCCGGTCTTTGCAGCCCCTGCGCCACCCTGGCAAAGCAACGCCAGGTCTCTGGCAGCAAGCAAGTGGGGCCTCTTTGGGCAGAGGGGCCTTGAAGTCACGCGGGTGGGTCACCACCTGCTCCCACCCCTTTCTCCCCTGCCCCACCCAGCTTCCTGGCTCCGGTGGGGACCGGGAATGCCAGAGGCAAGCAAGTAGCCACTTTCCCTCCCCTCAAGTTTGAAGGCTGAGGACTGAGCCAGACACGTGTTTCCATAAACTGATGGAAGGAGGATTCCCTGGGGAGACCCTTCTCCTCGTCCCTCCTTGCCACACCCTGGGCAGGGGCTGCCATGACCTCGAGTGGCAGCTCCCACGTGGTGTAAACCAAAATATCAGGGCCCAGAAAGGATCTGACAAATAAGGACAAAACATGTCAAATGTGTCCGGGAAAACCTGGAATCTGATCGCTTTGTCACAGCCAGACGCACACACTGTCTCTGTCATCAGATGAATGGTGCACGGGCTGATGTCATCTCTCCTTGTAACAATAGGAGACACGGCAGTGCCTGAACAAGACCTGGCAAAGCCATTTCCCCGCAAGTCTCCCTGCTGGGATATTTATGACGCACGCTGGCGTTTTCATCCTTCAGTTCCTCTCTTTAACCATGAACTCTAACCTGACAACAAAAACAAAACAATAAACAAATGGGTTTCCAGAGTAAGGAAGGAAGATAGAGTGAGTCAAACCCCCTTCCTATGTTCCTCTAAAAATTAATAAATTAAGCGCGAACCTTCAGAGTAACATAGGTGCTTCCTGCCTCTCAGAGGACTCTCACATCCTTTGATCGTCTGGTTTTAGCCCTGCAGGGTACGTACCAGCACCCCTAATTGTATCAGTTGGGGTTCTTAGTCAGACACCAGAACCCACTCCAGGTAGCTTAAGCAGAAAAAGCATTTATTAAAAGAAATTAAGTATCTTACAGAATTTTCACAAAAGCCAGAGAGGCAGGCTTGCAGAGCCACCAAGATCGGTTGTGCAGATTGTATGCTGCACAGCGCCACCACATTTGAGATGCCATTCACACCCTTGACAGATTTGTAGATTTGTCACATAGTAGATTTGTGTATTACAATAATTTTCCAGCAGATGGCAGTAAAGTGTCTCAAAGGGGTGCCCTAGTCTAATTTGCACAAAGGCACCAAATGGACAAGGAGCAGAACATTGGCTGGAAACCAAAAAGCCAAGAACAACCCCAAATCTCACCGCATCAGATTCCTCCAGTAGAGATTGGGTTTGCTGCTGCTGCTAGGCACAGACCCCCCAGCTCAGGCCTTGGACACTGAGACTCTGTCCCTGTGGCCCACTCTCTGCCACCGTCCTCCCCGAGCGTGGATTCCACATTCTGCACGTTCTCCTTTGCTCTCTGCAGTGTGGAGTCCAGCACTGCGCATCTGGTTGGAGGCGCCCAAGCCCCCATGTCTCGGCCTAACTGCAGCCGGCTGGGAAAGCAGGCTCCAGCCTCTGGCCTGAGAAGGGACTCTTCACGAATAGGAGTTCTGTTAATGCTGGGTGGCCTCCAACATGTCACATATCCATGCAGTGTTTTGCAGGTGAAAGGCTTGAAGCTCAGTGAGGCAAAATGATGAGGATATGAGGATAAGGCTACCAGGTGAGCTGTGGCAGAGCCAGGGCTAGACCCCGGAGCTGCTGGCTCCCTGACCACTGTACCACACTGTCCCCTTAGAAGTGGAGGGTGAGAATGAGGCAAGGCCACTGGGAACACAAGTCTATTTAGCCAGAGCATGCCCTAGCTGTTCTCCACGGACGCCTCAGCCCTCTGCAAGTCTTAGTACACATTCCTTCACAGCTTCGCCCTCCCCAACCCTCGGGCACACTCCAAACTGCTTTCCCAAATGTAAGCTCCAGTCGGCCTGCACCACCAGCGTGGACTGTCTGCGTGCCCCCTCCCCCAGCGGCAGGTACAGCATGGTGAGTTTCTCATCATGGAGCCCAGAACTGCCTTAACCACTTCGGTACGGCTCTCACCGGCCACGAAGCCTTGCCCCCAGCCGGCACTCACAGTCCGCACCAGAGTTTGTGCTGTGCATAGACAACTAATCCGTTTTGCTCTTGTGTGATGAGGAAAGCTTTAAAGCACTGAAAGCTTGTTTGACTTTACAGGCAGCTTTACTTGTAATGTAAATCACAATAGGTAACATATACATATGTTTTCATTACGTTATTTTTAAATGTTCACAATTTTATGTTGATAAATGAAAAATTAGAAAAGTCATATCACGGCTGTGGCTAAGGTCACTGTGCGCGTTCATCTGTGGCTATCGACTACAGTGGCCGCTGGTACCGAAATGGTTAATCCACACCTTCCCGCCTTTGCTGAGCAGTCAGCCCCCTGCTGAACCTCCCTCCCCCAAATGGGTTTCCTTATTCAGTGGGCACAGCAGAGTCAGGGTGATGTCGTAATTAAAATGCTTTCTTTTTTCATTTTGCCATTTCAACATCACTCCTATAGGAGCACACT